ATCATTTAGGCAGCTCGCTAGTATTGTAATTTTCGGAAGTGTAGGGTCAAAATAAAAAATACCTTAAAGCTTTAGGGATGCCCGTAGAATTAATGTAGGTGACTTTTAAAATTTCTATTTTATTTCACATTTACAAAAATAAAAAACTCAAAACCCAGTTGCCCTTGAAGTTCGCTGTTTTTGCTGTGTCTTAGCGATTATTTTGGAGGCAAAGCCATGGCTCACGGTGGCTACGCCAAGCGGAGGGTGAGTCCGGCGGGAGGACGACGGCCCAAATCGGCGTTGGGCCCAGAGAAGAAGCCCAAAACCGTCAACCTCAAAAAGCAGATTCGCTCCATCGAGCGCCTGCTCCGTAAGGTACTCTCTCTTTCTTCACAATCTACTCTTTCATCTCGTTCAGTTATGTGTTACTGCCCATTTCGATTCTGCTGCAGTTCTCGTTGATTCTTAGGGTTAGGGTTTGTATAGTTTTCGGGGCTTCAATGTTGTTGAGTTCTTTGCTACCCCTTTTGTGTACACTCCACTCCCTTCCTCCTCCTATAATGGGTCTTCTGACCTAATACAGCTTGAATCAGTCGATTTCTTAAGATTATAATAGGAAACTTTGTGGTTTTAGCTGTTGGTGAAGTCATAATCATTGTGAAGTATGGCCTAACACGACGATTTTGTACCAAGAATCTATCAGCTGAAATGAAGGAGGCTCAGGAAAAGAAGTTAGAAGGACTCAAGAAACAGCAGGAGATTCAGTTTCGTCTCGCTGTGGAGCGCAAGATATTTATGCGTGACAGGAAGATTAAGTTTTTCGGTATGATTTACTGATTTATTTATTATGTGTAGAGTTGATTTCTTGCATGATTTACAGCTTAATTGCTTGGTGGAGTGTGTTTTACTCAAATCATATAAGTAACACGGACTTTTTTCAGAGAGAAGAAAAATAGAGAGAAGAATAAGACGTTTGGAGAAACTCCAACGTGCTTCTTCGTCTGGTCAGGCACAAGATGCAGAGAGTTCTGTGCAACTTTCCAAATTGAAAGAAGATCTTGAATACGTTAGGGTAAGCTATATAGTGGTATATAGTGGTCCTTGGTATATCTGGTTTTATGTGAATGCATGCTTGTGGAATTTGTAATTGGGAATTTGGTATGTTTTTCTGTCATGAGAATATCATAAGCTTTCATTGGAATTGAAATGTGAACTTCCACTTGACCTTGTGCCTTATGGTCAAGGGCTGGATGTATTTTACTTTACTTGGTACAGGCTTTGAATTGTTTCTTGAAATAACACATACTTGTTTCCAATAATGTCAAAAGGCTGATCTTTATTTTTATTTTACTATCAGTTCTTTCCCAAGACCGAGAAGTATGTCCCTTTGTTTACTGGTGGTGAAGTTTCAGATATAGTTGATAAGAGAAATAAGTTGCGTGAGAAGATTAAGGCCAATTTAATTGCTGCAGCAGCTAGTGGAAAGGATGTTGAAGGTATTTCTTTTATGCTTTATTTACTTCCACCAGAAATATCTCTTATGGAGGTATTCTTCATAAGCAATAACCATCTGTTGTAATGCACAATACATCTTTTTTAGTTATCTAAAGTTGTTTGAGTCATTGTTTGAGCCCAACTTGGTGCAGCCTTCGTTCAAAATTCAATAAAGGTATATACCACTTAAAAAATAATGTCGGATAAATACCTAGCGAACTGTCTAGTCTTCAGATGAAATTAATAGTAGAGGTAAAAATGACTGCAAGAAAAATGGATGTTAAACCTATCAAACAAAACATTATACCAAATTATTCTTTCCACATTCCTGCCATGCTACCATTTTCTTTGTAAAATGTAGATGATGTTTATGTTTTCTCTGAGGGATGCTTTTCACCTCCCTTTTCTTCTTGCAGTTGTCAATTATGAACATAATCTCAGGGTTGCAAATCATCAAACAATTTTGTTACACTCACAAGCATGCTGTATTTTCTTGGATTTCTTACAGAAACAGGGAGCGAGGACGATGGGCTTCTGGATCTGAGTGAAGATGATTTCTTCCTAAATGGGAGTTCAAGTGATGAAGCAGATGCAGACGATGAATGGACGGATAAGAGTACAAGGTATTTATCTAACTGTGAGTGAGATGTTATATTTGAGAATATATATTTTTCTTTTTATTTTAAGGATCATTCATGAATTAGATGACAGTGCACTTCAACAATTATCACTTTTCTTAACATGAGCCCACTGTTTGTACTTTTGCCGGGGAAGCTAAAATTTTAGAAGAACCTATTTGAATTAGTATGTATGTATTAAAAATATGGTAGTTGATGTATTAAAAATATGGTAGTTGCTAGTTGATGTACTGAAGGAAGTCCCACTTCTGCTATTTGATGTATTGGCTGGATGTAGACATTTCAGCAATCTTTTTTGAGGAATTTTTGCTTGATGAAGGACAAACCTTGACTGAGCACGAACTGAACTTGTGCGAAAATAATTATCTCTTTCATTTTGATGTGTGTATTAAAAATATGGTCTGTTATGATGGAAGTTGCATCATAATTTTGTCATCTGTTTTTTCAGAGAACAGGCTTCCAGTGCTTCTGGAAAAGCAACTTCTGGCATGTCCAGTGATGAGAGAAATCAGGTTTCCATCTTTTAACTTTTGCACTGTTGTGATTACACATATTTGCTTATTGATTGTTTATATTTCTGTCTCCTCACCTGGATTTCTTAAATAGCGACAGGTTTCTGCTAGAGCTTTGATGCCTCCTCCCCGGCCATCTAGCAATTCTCGCACAAGTTCAGTTCGTGCTCAGTCAAGGTTTGGTCCTTCATCAAGCAAAAATTCCTCAAAAAAGATTGCTGAAATGTCTACATCCAGCAATACATCAAATAGCAGAAGTGGGACTTCCTTCAGTACATCAACTAGCAGAAGTGGAACTTCCTTCAAAGCTAGGGGATCATCAAATTCAACAGCTGCTCAAAGTAGTAATTTGAGCTCCAACTCTGATGCTCATAAGCCCCGTAGAAAGAGGAGGCCAAAGAAGAAAAAGCAGCAGGTTGGAGTTACTTGTTAATGTTAGATATGTTGAACAGTTTGCTTTTCTTTTGATGAGATCTATAGTTTATTCTGTTGAAAATTTGTTTCAATGCTTTATAGTGTACCTACTGTTAATAATTCTCCTAATATAATAAGAAAAAACATGGAAATTAGCCACTTATCTAGATAGTCATGGTTTGACCTGAGGCTACCTGATTTTTGCTTCTGTTTTTATTTTTCAAAAGAATATACATCCTTGTCATACTTTCAGCTACAGAGCTGCTTGACAAGAGCTAGATTGAGTATTTTCTCTTTATCCCACTCACTGGGGTATGGTTATTGGGTTTAGCATGCATTATTACCCACGCTACGTTTCTATCTATGATGATTATATGCTATCATTGTACAATTACCCAGGGATTTGGGTTTCATCTTGCACAGAGGTTCAAAATTGGCTGGTTGGATAGTAAGCTTCCAAGTTCCTTTTTTCATGATTTGTGAAATTGATATGCCATATTGGTATAAGTGTTGCTTCAATTCATTTGTTAGTTTATAGGCAACTCCATTAATAGAGTGGATGGGCATTTTTGTGGCTAACTTAAAGAAGTTGGATGTATATCTCAGCCCGATTGATTTGAGCTAATTATTCAAGCTGGAGGTTAAGTGAAACTCAATGATGGACTGTTATTGTTTGTTTATTCTTGGGCCCTTTATTCTTCATCTAGTTTTTTGTATACTCGATTCTTCATCTCCCTGTACTGTGCTAAGTGATTTCTTCTATTATAATATACTTTTCTCTTCCCCCCCTTTTTTTGGGTGAGAACTCATTTCACTTCTACTGGTGTTTGTTGTACAATTGTAACATTTTTTCATAAACAACTACTTGTATGTTTGCAGGGATGAGTCGAAGATGCGTGGTGCTGATGCGAACTTGTTTTGATGATTTGATCACTTTGAGTTGTTTATGCGAAATTCTTACAGCTCAGTCTTGACACTGAAGCACGTGATTTCTTTTTCCATGGGTAAAATAGTTGGAAGCTTGTGCTTACTGCTCTGTAACAATCGGTCTTACTCCATGCCTAGTCACTCCGAGCTAGGCTTGATTTATCCTGAAAATGTCTCTCTGCTGTAATTTTACAACTTCAGCCTGATCTAGTGACAATCCCTGGATGGCATAGACTTGTACTGATTGAGATCTTGGATCGTGCCCTAGTTTGTTTACCTAGTTGTGTCTTTGCAAGGCAATTTGTTTGGATACAAAAATGAAAATATACTGAATTTCTTTCATGGGACCGTTTTGCCAAGTTCTTGCCTGTGCCTCGGCAATGCTTTGTCTTGCATTTCATTCATATCCATCTTGTTTTTATGCTGCACACAACGATCATAATCTATTGAGTTTGGTAGAGATATAACCCAACCAACCACCCTTTTTCTTGTTTATAAAATGGAATTTGACCCTTTTTCTGATGGTTGAATTGTTTACTGTAATAAAATGATAATTTTACCCTTTTCTGAAGGGATGTTTGTATACATGTTTATTTAAATTTTTTAGTTAAAAAAGAACGGGACAAGATGAAATGTAAAAGGAGTTCAACAATCCTTCTGTCTTTTAGGATTTTGATTTATACTGCCTTTTACATTCATTTATAAGATATGGAACGTATTGTCATCTCCTCGTCTTAAAAAATACCTGTATTGTCTTAAAAAAATACAGAAAAATACGGGTATCTTCGCCTAATTTGTAATTGTACATGAAATTATATTTATTTATTTTCAAAGACAAGTCACAATATAATGTACATACTGATAAAATAAAAAAGACAACATTATAAGCAGCTTCAAGTAAAAATAATTAATTTATAAAACTTAAAGCTTCTGCATTTTGTGGCTGAATTTTTCATTATATCTTAGGCAAATATATCTAATTAGATAAGTATTGCTTGCCTGCCGCAAGCGCTCAGACATAGTGCACCAAAAAGTTACCAAAAAAGGGAAAAACAGACGTTAACGGAGTTAACTACTACTGCAACTCTTCCTTCTCCAACAGGCAACAACGAACAACGAACAACGGTGAGTTCAGAAACTCATCGAGACAGAGTTACAGAGAGAAGAGAGACAATGGCAGCTCTAAAACCTTCACTTCCAATGCTATCGTTCTTCTTGTTGCTCTCACTATATTCCAACACTTTCATCCACACAGCTCTCGCCGATGGCGTCACTCCCGAGGAAGCTAAACAGCTCAGGGACGAGGTAATCCCCATCCAGTTCTCGCAATTATCGTTTCCAATCATCCTCTAAAGTTGAGTCCGATTAGGGTTTCGGTTCAATTTGGCAGTGCCATGGGGTTTTATATGGTATTAACTTTATTTTGTGATTGAAAAAGTTGCTGAGTTTGTATTGATTAAAGCAAATTGGGGCCCTTTGGTCTTCTAAACCCCATTTCAGAAAATCCCAAATTTTCAATTTTGCGTAAGGCAGGGGATGTTTTCCCATTTTCGAATTAATCTGTTGACTGTGAAGCATTTTAGTACAAATGTAATGTAGTTCACTTACCCAGTTGGGAGAAGTTTTAGCTTATTAGTGACTTTGAGTGAAAATTTGGATTTGAGGTGGTTTGGAAGGTCAACCATGGTTCTGTGAGAATTTATTTTCTGGATCTTAGGTTAAAATCTGGACTTCTCATTTTTGAAAATTTTCAGATTTTATTGAATTTTCTTATTATAGCCCTAAACTTTCTCTGCAGTTTTACGTATTGTTGAACACAATCTCTAACTTCGTACTGTCTTGTATTCTATTTGAATCAACAACACAGTAGAAGCCTTTGGTTCTTGGTTTCTGTATTTGATAGTCTACATGTTCAGTGTAGGTTGTAATTCCTACTTTTGGTGCTCGCTATATGCTGCTTCAAAGTATATTAAGCGAATTCTTTCGGTTATATATTTTTTTCATTGCTTGTAAAATTTGTAAATTTCACAAAATACTGCTTGTCAGGTATTGCAAGTTACAATGTGGTGTTATAACAATTCGGAGATATATATATATATATATATATATAATATTTTCAAATGCAGGTTAGGGAAATGTTTTATCATGCATTTAATGGATACATGGAGCATGCTTTTCCACTTGATGAATTAAGGCCTCAGTCTTGTGGGGGTGAAGATTCGCTTGGTGGTTATGCCTTAACTTTGGTAATACAAATCACAAACTCTTTTTTGAAAAATTTTATACTGCAAGTATTTTTTTTTATTTTCTGTTTTAATGTTTGAAATATGTGTTTTTGTTAAGCTCTTATGTGATGTTTTTGCCATGTCATTGTCACAGATTGACTCCTTGGACACACTAGCTTTACTTGGTGATCGAGACCGCTTTGCTGCCTCTGTTGAATGGATTGGTAAAAACCTTCAGTTTGATATAGTGAGTAGTGTTTTTCATTCCTTTTTTTTCCTCTCTCTGAAGTGGTGTTTTAAACTCAAGATATTGCAAGTGGTGTTTTAGCTTATGTACACGGATTCATATTGAACTTCTTTAGCTTTTTTGCTTTTGTGGAAGATGTCTTATTAGTTTACTTGACAACAGGGCTTTTAGTTTGATGAGCTGACTAGTTCAAATCAAGGTTATCCAAAAAGTCTGGTTCTTAAGACTGTTTTACATGATTTGAAATGTGATGATCATTATTCACATTCGCATTGAACTTTTTTATTTTTAGGAATAAATGGATAGACTTTCAAGTTTTTTTTTTAATTTATGTTTTTGCTGTAGATATCTCACTATTTCACTCGACAATAGGGCTTTTAGTTTGATGAGCTTACTAGTTCAAATCAAGGTTATCCAAAAAGTATGGTTCTTAAGACCGAAATAGGCTGTGTTACATGATTTGAAATGTGACAATTATTGTTGACATGTTACGTGTCATGTAATAATGTAGCATGAATTGCAGTGGCAGAATGTTCCCATTCTAATATGATGTATTGTCAATATTGATTGTCATTCAAAATCTCCTATTTATATATCAGTCTTGTCCTGCTTATGGAATTCTGTTTCCTTAGGACCCTTATCTTATTGTTATTGTACATTCATTTGTTTTGCTACTATTGCACCGGTTTGCAATTAAATATTTCCTTAGCAATAATAGATGAAATTGTCAATCTAACTTTCGAATCTTTGAAAATGTTGCAGAATAAGACAGTATCTGTTTTTGAGACTACCATCCGTGTCCTTGGGGGTCTACTCTCCGCACATCTTATAGCAAGTGATTATGCTACGGTAGTAATTAGTTGGGTACCTCTATGTTTCAAACTTTCCCATCTTTAAAAAATCCATGAATTACCTTTTAATGCCATAAGCAAACATTGTACTGTGCCCTTTGGTTTGAGCTAGCACATATTGTGTTGCAACTTGCCAAACTATGTGATATATATGCATACCAATATAAGCAGAAGTAGGGTGTAAAAAAAAATGAAAGCTACCTGGTCAGAGTAAAGCTAATGAGTTATGAAAGGAATTGGTTTGCAGTTTTTGCTTTCCTTGGTTTTTTCTCTAATTACCAGAAAAATTAACAATTCAGTGGTTATAAAGCAAATTTTCCAGGCAGAACAGAGTTGGAATTCTAACTACAAACAAGTTTTTGCTCATGTTTCACATTTTAGGAATCTAGGTGCATTGATATGGATTTAAAATATCAATTTCTTGGACACTATACCTTAACACTCTCGATTATCTTTAACACTAGGTGAATGCTCTACCGCCTGCCCTATCATCATATATGGCATCCCTATAAGATCAGATATATTATTTTTGTTTGTTGATAGACTTATGACCTCACATTTGACCCTGGCTTAACTACGCTTCTGGGAAAAGAAAATACAAAAAGATTAGAAGGATAAAAAAGAAAAAAGAGGTGCCAATGGGTCCATAGCTCAGTGGTAAGAGCATTTGCCTGCAGATCAGTGGTCTCAGGTTCGAACCCCAATGGCACCTCCCCCTCCCCCTTCCAAACTTTGACAAAAAAAAAGAAAAAAGAGGTTGTTTAAGTTTGTACGAAAGGATACATAGCAATATCATGTATGTTTCTTTTGCTATCAGAGTTTACTGGAAGCTATTTGGTTAAGTATTTATGTCTGGTAGGAGTGCAGTGTTATAGGATATAGATATTTAAAGGTCGTTGTTGAATTATTTGTACATCTTCTATTGCAGGGCATGAAAATTCCAACCTATAACAATGAGTTACTTAACTTAGCTGAGGATCTAGCCCGGAGGTTGTTGCCTGCATTTGACACTCCTTCAGGTATGCCTACTAGATTATCCCCTTCATTTAGTATACACAAGACTCTATGCAAGATGTTTCTGGCTGAACTTTCACTGTTTTGCATTCTTTGTCATTCCCAGTGTTTCAGAGGAAACTTGTGACATTTGTTGGTAAATACTGCAGGAATATGATTATGGATGTCTTTTGTTACCCTAGCCAAATAGTAATAGATAAGAACATGTTTATGTTTGAAGAACACCATGGAGTGATGGAAAGGCTTAAAAGGGCATAAATCCATATGGTTGTTATTGGCTCTAGTTTATTCTATTTTAATGACTGAATACTGGGTTTTTTGGAAACTTAACTTGATGGGAAGCTTACTGTAGCTAAACAAATCCTAAAGCATTATGTAGAGATAGATCATGAATGTGAAACTTTTTGTTTCTAGTTGCTGAAGTGTAGGTATTTAAGTACTGGCATTTCAAGTGTCCTTTTTAAGCTATCTTGTATAAGTATCCTTTATAAGGGGTCTTGCATTGCAGGAATTCCTTTCGGATCTGTCAATCTGATGCACGGAGTTGATGAACATGAAAGCAAGGCAAAGCTTCTGTACATTTTCTCTTTTCTGTGCAAGTTTCTGTCTTATTCACTGTGTTTTTTACGCATATTGTAGGACAATTAATGAGTAGATCTGCTTTCTTTTTTTTTCCTCCGATAAGAAGTAAATTTTCTAGGTTCAGGATAAATTTTAAGTGAAGATGTAGAATCTTAACCACAATTGGTTATTTGTTAGTTTGGGCAAACTTTTTGTGATTTCAAATTTACTTGTTAGTCTAGATAACATCAACAGCCGGTGGTGGGACTTTGACTTTGGAGTTTGGAGTGCTCAGCCGATTGACAAAAGATCCCAGTAAGTAGTAGCTATCTTTCCTTCAAGCTAAAAGTATAATCCATCTAACTTGAGGGGATCTGACTTCTAAAGGAGTATGCGCTTGGACTTCACCAGTAGACAAAGATGCATTTTGTTGCAGCCTTTAATGGACAGAATTTATGCTGAAACATATAGATACATTATATTATATTTTACTTGCAATCTTATTTGGTATTGATGTTGTAACTGTGAGCTCTTTCCTCATAGTTCATCTTTTAGAGCAGATTCTTGAAGTAGGATGTTCTTTACCATCTTACTTTCCCCTTCTTTTCCTCCCTTATCTGATTGGTTTTTTCCTTTTTGTCTTTTTGGTTTTGCGATTTCTTTCTTTTGCAGTTTTTGAACAAGTTACCATGAATGCAGTTCGTGGGCTTTGGGCTCGCCGTTCAAGGCTCAATTTAGTTGGTGCTCATATTAATGTTTTTACAGGTGAATGGACACAGAAGGTAACATTCCTTTAACACGATTACATTGAGAAACATACAACTCTGAGGAAGCAGATTTACTATCAAGATAAATAATAATAATATCCGCATAAATTTTATTTGCATGAATGGAATATTGAAAACTAAGCAGGAAAACCTACACGTGAATTGTGGGCTGTTTCTATTTTCCAGGGCTGAAACAAGCCTTTGAATTATCTGACCGGGTCTTGGATTTTTATTGCTTATTTTGAACATTAGGTAACAAAAGAACGTCAAATATAGTTTCTTCCTCTATTGTTAAGATTTTTGAAGATAAATATAATGTCTTAAGGTTTCTATTTGAGTGGCGATGCTCTTTTCCCCTTCTTTCATTGCTGCTTTAGTTTTCAGGCATCACTTTTTTGGTCTTAGATGTGCAGGTTCTTCTGTAATCATTGGAAGATATGTTTTGCCAGTCAAATATAAAACTTTAGTTGATTTATCTGGAGTTTGAAAAGCTGAGTCTAATAATCATACTTGTTAATTCCTCTCTGGCTTGAGGATTTAGGTGTGAATAACGGTACTTTAAGAAAAGGAAGTTGGCATAGTTTATAATAGTAGACAGCATCACCTTAGTATTTATAAACAACATGATTTTCCCTCTTCATTAGATTTTATTTGAATAATACTGATCAACCTTCTGTAATCAGCTATTGGTCTACTACCGAATAATTGATTTCTATGTAGGGCGTCCCCCTTAGTCCATTTTTCACACTGGACTGGACATCCTAACCCAATGCTTATAGTTCATCCATTACTATTAAGTGGACCAAATGGTTTGGTCATCATGCTAAAATGGGATTATAATCTTGCAAGGCTGGCACAGTCCCATTAAGCCACCTACCTTGTGCGCCAAATGCAGAACTGGGATTTAATCTTATCTTCCCCTCTAGTCCGACCTTCCAAAAAGTCCTAGATGATAGGATAATTAGTAGGTGATTTTATTCTCTCGTATGTTCTTTGTGTGGCATTAACTATACTTATGTTTCACTACTTGTTTGCAGGATGCTGGAATAGGAACTAGTATTGACTCTTTCTATGAGTATCTTCTAAAGGTTTGTAAGATCACTTGGAATGTTGAAACCTTCTTGTAGCTATGCAATTAGATTATTTGATATCAGGTTTTCAGGCGGTAGATTAAATAGTTGATATCTCTATGTCATGACTGATGAGAAAAACTCCTAGAAATTAAATCGGAAAGAAAGGATAAGTGGTGCTGAAAAGCTATGTGGGAGTGTTTTGTTGCTTTGCAGGGTTAACAGGGAGACATCATATAAAATTATTGCCTAGATTTTTGGAAGATAGTGCATTCTTATTACAATAAACTAGTTTTATGGTCTTGTGGCAATCAATTAGCCGGGAAGTTTAAGTGTTTGCTTAGTAATTTGGTGTGGCTCTTAGCTTTGGGACCTTTGCAATAATAAACATCAATTTAGAGATTGAGAACTCCTTATTTTTCATAACTACGTTAGCAGAGAAACCATAGTCCCAACTTTTGGAATTCTACATCTAATGGTTTTTACGCCTTTGTTGATTAGCGTCTTTCGCTTTCTTTATGGGGAATGAATATTTTATGATTTTTCTTTACTTTCAAGTTCTGCATATATGATATATTCATTTTCACTAACAAAAGGGAGTTGTGACAAATAGTGATTTTGTTTTTTTTTTTCTTGTTCTTTCTATTTTTTTTCTTTACCATTTCAGGCTTATTTATTATTCGGAGATGAAGAGTATCTATTCATATTTCAAGAAGCGTATGCTGCTGCTATGCACTATCTTTACAATGATCCTTGGTAAATGCTACTAATTAGTAGATGATTCTTTGTAGTTATACATTCCCTTTTAACTTAATAGAACTTCAATTGTACTTTTGTTTGGTAGGTATGTAGAGGTAAATATGGATTCTGCTGCTGTTGTCTGGCCATTATTTAACAGTTTACAGGCATTCTGGCCAGGACTTCAGGTTTGTAATATGTTTTGTCATAAGATATTAATATGTATACAGTTGATACTGGATAGTTGAAAACTTGTTCATTAGGTTTCAGTGAGATTGATTACCTTATCTTTTGGAAGGTTTTAGCGGGAGATATTGATCCTGCAATTCGAACTCATACTGCCTTCTTTAGTGTGTGGAAAAGATATGGTTTCACTCCAGAGGGCTTTAATCTTGCTACGCTCAGTGTTCAGGTACCATAATCAACTTTTTCTGAACCCTAATACAATTTTTATGTACTCTTATTCAAATTGTTGGATTTTTTTTTTTTACTGGGTGCATGCTGGTGTCTCATTTAATGGTTTTATGTGTCTAGTTACATCCAGTTTTTCATAAGTGAAAACTAAACTGCTGTGCAACTTTGGAGCATGCTAGATAAAATCTTTTACCTTAAGGTTATCATTAGAACTTGAGGTCTAGCTTTTATTCATGAATGGTTTGGTAAAAATTGCTGTACTGCTCTTTCCATCCCACTGGCCAAACAGATGGTCAGACAGGTCTTAGTTTGAGGTGTGAACATTTTGTCTTAGTTAAACCTGTGTATGGAGTCATTCTGTGATGGTACGAATAGTAGGGCAGTCCATGAAAACATCTAGGCCACTGCCCCTATTTAACAATTAATTAGCGTCTTTCTTTCTCTCTCTCTGTTTTTTTAAAAATAACTTTCCAAGAATAGATTTCCTAATCAATGGTTTTGTTTATAGTACTATAGATTTTAGATTTCACTTTATTATATCAATTGCATGTGTAATGTTTAAGTCTACGTTTGTTTTTAGCATGGGCAAAGAAGTTATCCACTGCGTCCAGAGTTAATGGAGAGCACATATTGGCTCTACAAAGCCACTAGAGATCCCAAGTAAGCTCGGAAATACCTCTGATTTGTGGATTGCTTTTTAGTCTTTTGTTAACAACATATGTAAGAGGGACACTTCTGTTACCAAAAAAAATGTATACTTCAGAGTAGGCATTTTAAAACCATGTCTTATGCATTTCTTTGTAGATATCTTGATGCTGGACGAGACATGGTTGCCAGCTTGCAGTACAGTGCACGATGCCCCTGTGGATTTTGTCATATAGCAGACGTTGAGTTCCACAAGCAGGAAGATCATATGGAGAGCTTTTTCCTAGCAGAAACAGTAAAAACTTAGAACTCAAATATCTCATCTTCATATGGCTCTCAGTAGAGTAAGATTATTATGGAAAAATACATATGAAAATCTTAATTGAATTGTTTTGTTATTGCTATAAGACGAATTTGTAACAATATAAAACTTATTAAGAATTTATGTTGGGAGTGGGACTGAGGATGGTGGGTCTCAATTTTTGCAAATATATCTCTGTGACAAGATGTTGTTGGGGATTAATTTCTTAACTCCTTTGTCTAACACATTCAATGCTTTCTTACGGGTTTGTCTTCTGTTCCATTTTTTCATTCATTTATTTTCTTTTCTTCTCTTCGATTACATGTTATTAACAACTTGTAACACAATTAGGTTAAATACTTGTGGCTTCTTTTTGATTTGGCTGTGGGACCAGATAACCTTGTTGAAAATGGGCCATACAAGTAAGTTCTGCACACCCCCCCTATCATTATGCTTTAGTGCCATAACTTATTTCCATAAAAGAGCTAACTTATCTATTTTTTACACGTGTGGTGGAAATGTCTCCTTCTGCAGGTACATCTTTAGTACCGAAGGCCATATATTGCCTGCAACCCCTGAAATATCTCTTGTGCAGGAACATTGTTCATATTTTGGGGCTTATTGTAACACCGGCAACATGCGAAATGAATCTCATGCATCAGATGTTGCAAGTAATCCTCAAGAAACTAATGATGGTAGCTTACATGGAAGAGTTCGCACTAGATTTCCTTCAGGCTCCACTTTTTCTGATTCAACCCCTATATCAGGATTGATAAAAGTGAGTATTGCATACTGGGCATTTCTCTAAAAGCATTATAAAGTTTGAAGTATTACATAAGTATAGGGGCTAGGTCTCCGTAAGTTTATGCATTATTAAAGCATCACTTTGAAGTCTTTTGAAAATTTCTTGTCTCTTTGCAGGGTGTTTGCCCAGGACTAACTCATGGGCAAAAGTTCGGTATATCATATGTGGCATCAAGCCACAGAGCTCATGAGGAGTCCAGGAACCAAAGAAAACCAACTGTTGCAGAGAGCCATTCACTGGTGGTTGTCCCAGGCCAAACTTCTGAGGATACACCTCAAAAAGGATGATGGCATCTTTTTTATTAAATTGAACTTCTTTATAGTTGGTTGGAATTGCAACCTCAGAATAATCATTTCAGCCCCTCGGTGCTCGTCCTATATTCTTCTGCTAAAACATCATCAACAAAAAGAATGATTTTGGGAAGGGTCTGGCATGTCAAACTGATTGAAGCTGTTAATTGGAAGCCTTGGAACTGCTTGAGATTCTTAAATTCGGCCTTCATGTAAATTATGCGGCAATTGCTTACAGAATGAGCATGGAGCTTTAGGGTAGAAATATAAACACGAAGAATGAGGCTATGTCAGAGATCTGCCTTGCTGGTTATACTGCTGCCCCTGAGACCCGAACACCGGCACTTCTTCACCTGCTAGGCTCATGTAACTTGGCATAGTAACTAAATTTATGTACATTTTTATTTTCTCTTTGGTAGGTCTCAAAAGTTTGATTATATGTGAGGGTCATCTGCTTAGAGAAAACAAGAGTCCAACATGTGTAGGCAGCAGGAGCTGGACATTTTCACTCATGATACTCATGTGAGAGGACCCTGATTTAGAGAGATACCTTAGTTTCACATTATGTACTTAAATACAACACAGGCGAGAGAGGCTTAATCTAGCTGATCTTACTCTTACATAAAGAGTTAGAGTTGATTCTTCGTGGGCTTGTGCCTATTTTGACGATTGGCGATTCAGATGTTTCAAACTTTTTGAAGGATTACAGTAGTTTTAAATCTCTATGTTTTTTAGTTTCCGCATCTATTATTGAACTGTGGTGCTAAGAAATGTGGTATGAGAGGCTTGTAACTCAAGTGGTTACGAACAGTTATTCATGTATCCGAACACAAGTGGTTACGAGTAGTTATTCATGTACCCGATGTCATGTGTTCAAACCTTCTCTCCCCCAATCCAGTGTATCCAAAAAAAAAATATATATATAGGAAGCACTTCCAAATGACTTCATTTTTATGGATAAAAAAAGCAAGAAGAGAGAGGTTGTACCTCTTTTTGACCTAAACAACAACACTAAGGTTAATTGAATGATGTTGCCCCCTTTTTTTTTTTTTTTTTTTTTTTTGTTAAATTGTTCTTTTCATTTATAGAAAAGTTTGATTATTCCTACTTTGCAAAACAAGCTTGACTTTGGGCCCACTCACCATGCCCAATTTCTTTTCTATCTCGCCGTCAATTTAAATACTTCCCGTGACCGTTAGAATTTCGTCCTTCCATTTGGCGCCATGAAATGAATCACTCGCTATTGAAAACTGTGAATAAATGCCAAACTCTCAGATCCTTGAAATCCATCCATGCCCATCTTCTAGTCACCAGCTCTGTCGTCTCGTCCAACCTTATCCTCAACAAGCTCCTCAGGTTGTACTCGCGCTTCGGAGCTATCAGTTATGCCCGCAAGCTTTTTGATGAAATTACTGAACCAAATTCCTTTCTTTGGACGGCCTTAATACATGGGCATGTTGAGAATCGTCGATATGAAGAAGCATCTTCTCTATTTACCCAAATGCATGGTGAGTCCATTGAGCCTTTGAATTTTACTATTGCATCAGTGCTCAAGGCTTTAGCTCGGGAGGGTAGAGTTAAAGATGGGGAAACAATTTATGGGTTGGTCTTAAAATTTGGATTTGGTTCTGACTTGACTGTTCAAAATGCGGTACTTGACTTGTTCATGAGATGCGGTAAAGTTGATGTTGCTAGACGGATATTTGATCAGATGGATGAAAAAGATGTGGTTTCTTGGAACTCGATGATCTCCGGCTACGGAAGTAATGGTAGAGTTGATATTGCAAGGCAGCTGTTTGATTGGATGCCTGAGAGGAATACAGTTTCATGGACAAGCATGATTTGTGGATATGTTAAGTCTGGGGACATGGCGGAGGCAAGGGTCCTTTTCGAGCAACTGCCAACTAAAGACTTGGTGTCATGGAATGTGATGATTTCTGGGTACACCAATGCTAGTGATGTTGACAAAGCTCTCTGTTTATTCGAAGTGATGCCAATTCGTGATGTTGGGACTTGGAATCTGATGATTTCAGGGCTCTGCAAAGCAGGAGATATTAAACGTGCAGAAGATTTCTTCAACATGGTGCCAAATAAGAATGTTGCTTCATGGACCATAATGATGGATGGTTATATAAAATCTGGCAACATTAATTGTGCGAGGAGCTTATTTGATCAGATGCCCGAGAAGAATTTGGTTTCTTGGTCTACCATAATTGGGGGTTATGCAAGAAATGGGGAGCCTCGCAGTGCTTTAAAGATGTATAAACACTTCAAGGAGGTAGGAGTTAGACCAGATGAGACTTTTATATTGGGAATCATATCGGCTTGCTCACAGTTAGGAATTCTAGGTACAGCTGAATCGATAGTTGGTGATTATGTTGGACAATCAACTCTGTCTAATCTACAAGTAGTGACAAGTTTGATAGACATGTATGCAAAATGTGGAAGCATTGAAAGAGCTACACAACTCTTTAAAATGACCCGTAAAAAAGATTTGCTTTGTTATAGCACCATGATTTCAGCCTTCGCTAATCATGGATTGGGTCAGGATGCCATTTCTTTGTTTGAGGAGATGAAAAAGGAAGGCATAAAACCTGATGGTGTAAGTTTTCTTTGCATTCTGAGTGCTTGTAATCATGCTGGTCTAGTCACAGAGGGCAGGAGGTACTTTAAACAAATGACAGTTGAATATAGAATTCATCCTTCTGAGAAGCACTACGCATGTATTGTTGACCTTCTTGGTCGTGGCGGGCGGTTAAAAGAAGCTTACAACCTTATATGTAGGATGCCATTTGCAGCTCCTTCAGCTGTATGGGGTGCTTTACTTGCAGCCTGTAGGGTCCATCGCAATGTCCAACTGGCTGAAGTTTCCGCATCTGAATTATTCAAGATTGAGCCGGACAATTCTGGCAACTATATCTTGTTATCCAATATCTATGCTGCTGCAGGAAAATGGGATGGTGTTGCGAAAGTGAGAGCGCTGATTAGAGAGCACAGGGTTAGGAAAAATAGAGGCTCTAGCTGGATTGAGTTGGGAAGTGAAGTCCATGAGTTTGTTATGGGAGATATGTCCCATTTTGATTCAGAATGGATATACCTTATATTGGATTTGCTTAAGGAAGATATGAGGTTCCTGGGATATTTAATGGACTTCGAAGAGAAAGAAGAATTGTCGACCTCTACATGGCATTCTGATACATTCTCTTACAATAATAAATTGGAAGATGGATGATGGAAATGATATGATATGATGTACTGAAGAAAATGTGTGGATTTTCTGGCATGATATTTTCGAAGTCTTCTGATTAAAGGTCCCCTATATGGCTTTTTGTTGGATGCTGTCCACCAGTGTCTCCATTTCCTTTCCTGTAAGGGGACAATTAACTACGATAATAATGCAAGGTTGTATCTTCCTCTGATGAGATTTTTTGTTGTTGGAATTAAATGGTTTCTAAGAGTGTTTGATCTTCATTCTCAAGAGCCACAGAATAGTATTAATCTCAGTTTTGAACTGTCAAAAATCACCAAGGACACCTTGTAAGGTCACAATTAATTTAATTCCTGGGCAATAACCAATTTTGATTCCCAAGTTTTTAAATCAAGTCGAAAGGTTTTGTGACTTATCAAATTCGTATAATATGCCAATAACCAATATTGTGATGGTAAGAAGAGTTTCCCATCAGACTCAACCAAGTGAAGTCCATAAAGCCCAATCCTGAAGTGCAACTCAATGACTATGAGAGAATCTATGGATGAGGACTCTTTCGCTTTGCCTTGCGGGCCAAACAAGCTGTATTAATTGCTAAAGGTTGCAGTTTCGGTTTTCATCTTACTGGAGTAGCTCAAGATATCAGTAATACGAAGTTATGACAAAGGTATTCTCTATTGCTTTGCTTAACATGTTTATTTATATCTTCACCTTTGTTTCTCTTTCTTTTCTTTGTTGAGATTTTCAAATAATATTATTAATCTTCTTTTTTTTATTTATAAATTTATCTGACTGCAGAATAGGTTGTTATTTCTGTAGCTGGTTCTTTTAGAATATGCAACTCCAGTAGAATATGCTAAACCATTTTCTAATAAATTGCTGCAATTGGATCTAAGCATCAAACGAACATCTGAATTAGCTCATAATCACTAGAGTCAAGGCTTAAATCACCTTTAACATGTCAACTAAAAGACAAGAGTGAAATAGAAGATAATTTTGATGTTTAAAAGATAAACAAAGGGGGTTTCAAAACCCTGCATCAAAACTTCTGACAAGTTAGCAATAAAATGTTATAAAAGTGTAATTGAATGAAAAAGATCACATGGAATATGTAGCCATTTAGAATAAAAAAGGAAAAGGGAAAGTTAAAAGCTTTGAAACATTATATCTAAAATATAAGTTGTAATGCTTCAATAAAGATGACCTTGTAATATAAACAAAGAATACACCGCAGTCAGATGCATCCCCTGCTAATGACCATGTAGTAATACAATATTAGTCAATACAATGTTTACGAAGTCCCAAAAATTTTCTCTTTTCCTGTTAAGATTTCCAGACAAAAGAAACAAAATTTAATCATTTTACTTAATCACCGACTTTACTGACATGTCTGGTAATTAGGGTAGATTTATAGACAGCCGTATCTTAAAAAGCCAGGAGAAAAGGAAAATCCATTTGCTGGGTTGAAAAAAGTGTTAAGAGTAGAAATATATATTAATGATTATTTTAGCTGAAGTCTTAACTCTTGAACTTGAAGAGACTTTACATGTTTTACTTTTACTTAAGTCTCTCTACTCATTGATCCTAAAATCTTACTCAAAAATTTAGTTCTGGTGGAATTGGGAAAGCCCTTGAATATTTTATTCCTACAATACAAATGACTCGAGGACCATGTGCAAAGAAAAACATCAAAGCTGAACTATCAACATCTTTGGATGACCAAATTGCAGTTGTGTGACTACATATATGACCATGATGTTTCCCATTTAATTGTTAAGAAAACTAATGGTATGGTGATATTTCTATGGCTGTCTATGCTTTGGATGAATTATCCACAGAAACAAAGAAATCTTTTGTGATGTTTGTTTGCCATCTTCAGATAGCAAAATAACCGAGAAGTTTTTGTTCCCATTTAGATTGCCCTATATAGCCTTCTACTATGCTTGATGTCCAGCAAGTGCTTGGTAGATAGAAATTTAATGGAGGCTGTAGTTTGTGATGCAAGATGATTAATTGATAGGATTCGATGCATCGGCAACCAGTCAAATATTTCACTACCCCTGTCATGAACATCTGAACTATTGTAAAATGTTTGCATGTAGTTGGAAATTTGATCATGTTTAGGGAGTAGAGAGGCCCAAGATCTTTTAAACTATTTGGAAATGCTTTAATTCCTCGACTTGGGATTCATATTCTCAACAACTCAATCATGTTTAGGGAGTGGATATGAAATTGAACATTGAACATCCAAAGCTTTCTCAATTTTGATAACACCTTACACATTATCTTTTGCTCATAACACTTAAATGTATTCCAGAAAGAAATGGGTACAAAATCTGCATGCAATCTGAAAATTCTACACACATATTCAAATATGTATAACTTTATAATATATATATCCATATCAAATGGTACATTACTCAAAACCAAAACATGAAACATGTCACATCTTCCCTTTATACAATCTCTTTGGAACCACAATCTCTCTCTGTATCCTCAATCCACAACAAATCTT